GGGGTGGAGGAAATTAATGAGTTCACGGGGCCACATTTGCTAATATTGCAAGATCTTGAAAATGTAAATGCACGCTAGGCTGGAGTAAAGAATGAGTCCCTTACATTGATTATTCAAAGATTTACGTTCACTGACTTGACAAATACCTTCATAAACATTATTAAATGTCTTTTATGTGTCGCGTCGTAAATAGTAGCAGAGGAGAGGAGGTGTGTGTGTGTGTGTGGGGCGAGGGGTTCACCCAATTGAGTGTGATGGATGTTTAATAATACATGTGCTCATAGGCAACTGTGTGTGTGTGCGTGTGTGTGTGTGTGTGTGTGTGTGTGTGTGTGTGTGTGTGTGCGCGTGTGCATTTTATATATAACCTAGTTGAAATTCAGCAACGGATAAAATGAATAATTCTCAGCTCAGAGATTAGCCTCTTATTTTGTGTGTGTGTGTGTGTGTGTGTGTGTGTGTGTGTGTGTGTGTGTGTGTGTGTGTGTCCGCCCGCTTTTCCCACAGATAAACATCCGATTTCATCCGATTTGATTGTCCTCATCCGATGATACGGACGCCATCAGAGGCCAGGCATCATTTTTGTTGTCAACTCGTGTTTGACTCAATTTGGCGCCGCGTCAACTTTGCCCAGCCAGCACCTTTCATTCAACACAAGCATAAACATGCCACCAGTGCCTTAGCATGCATGTGTGTGTGCGCGCGTGTGCGCGCGCGCGCGCGCTTTTCGACTGAATGATGTATTATCCTGTTTGCAGGCCTGTAACCGGGAGTTTGTTTCTGCTTCAGATTTTGAATGATGATGACGATGGCGACATGTCCTTTTTGTTCGGCTGAGATTAAAATATTGGAGCGTAGCCAACTAAAAGATGAGGAGATGCTTCCCAAAATTTAAATACGACTGATTCATCTCCCGGCCAGAATGCATTGAAGTGGTCTGATTTATACATGCTTTTAAGCCTGTGCATGTTAAAGCCTTATTTTTTCCCCCTCCGTGTTCAATGGAGGAGATGTTGTTTAATTCAGCCGTGAGGACATAAAGCTCCTGGCAAGGTTTTCTGCCGGGAGGCTATATACACACACACACGCACACACACACGCGGCATAAATATATAAATAAAAGGCAGAGAAACCTGAAAAACACACAAGCCAGTGCAGTCATATATATTGTTTATGTCCCATTAATATCTCGCAAACATCGCCGCCCGTGCTCTTCTCTTCATGAAAGCGTACAGCACACATCGCTTTGGGCTATGTTCGCTCTGGAGCGCAACTTGCAGGAAAAGAAAAAAAAAAAACTGCTGCTCCCCAAAGCGAAAAGCATTACAAAAATGACATTGCATTCTCATGGTTGGAGAGATTTACGATGTCGTGACCCACGGCAATTTAGCATTTGGCGGAATACACGCACAGCGACAATCGGGGAATAGTTGGACACGCCCCCCCGACTCTCTTATGCTAGAAATCAGGAAAGGTCAATTTTTCAGATGATTATCCTACTTGATTATCATGTGGTGTGGGGTGTGTTAAGAGTGATTTTCCCTTTCAGATCCGGTCAGGCCGACAATCGCAAATATCAAACCTGTTCAATATTTACAATTGCAAATCCTTGTGCGTCTGGTCAACAGTTCAGACGGCATGTGAGTGACTTGAAATGGAATCAGAGCCAATCAGAAAGGTGTCTCCATATCCAAAAAGACCAGCTTCTCACATTGATAATTTGTATAAAGTGTTACATCACAATAAAATGAGGAGAGTTTGCAACCACAATGTAGTTTGCAGATAAAAAAAAAAAAGGTAGCATATTTTCTCATAATTCTTTCTCTGTTATTTCCGCTGGCCTTGATGCTCCGTGGCACCATACTGCCCCTCATAGGTCAGTGTTGGTATTACAACAGACATCTGACTTGAAGGTGGCGACTTGCAATTGATAGAATTTCTTCTCATTCTGGGTCATCTCTATACTATCATTGTTGCCAAATAAGTGCAATTCGGCATGTTTGATAAAACTATTTTTCAGACAGATACCAGTATGAATATTCACTCTAAGTACTCACAAATACAGAGGACCGATACCTCTTGTACTTTTGACAGATGACTTTTTCATTTAACACAATGACAACCACTACTGAGGAGGACTTACTTGATATCAGGCTTTACTTGTCTTAAGTATCGATGGCTGTTATCGGCAGTCTCGACGAGTACCCATCCATCCATCCATAAGTCCATTTTCCGATCTGCTTTCTCCTCACAAGGGTCGCGGGGGGCGCTGGAGCCTATCCTCCACGAATACCCTATAATAATAAATCGTAAAAATGGTGTTTACGTATGTAGCGCTTTATCTTCACCATATGGTGCAAATAAGGCCGGTTTTGGCCCACTACCAATACCTGGTAACGGTACTCGCCCCTCACTTACGAGCAATAATAATGTATCAAGTCACTCTGCAATTCAGACCCCTAAGCTACCGACCAGTGTGGTAGGGTACACAAAGCATGGTGAACAACACACTGCAATACATTGTGGTGTCAAGGAAGAGTTGGACAAAAAACGCAAGGACCATAAAGACAAGCGTGACTGCACCATTTTCAATCTGGACAGCGAAGATGCACGGCGCCTCGAAAATGAAGCCTTTCTATTTTCTTCCCTTCTTCATGCTATTAAAAATGAATAGCGTGCCAACATGCGCCTCGATCCGCTCGGCAGCCAATGAACTCTGGATGCGCGGCGGGCCACGCTCGCAGATGTTAAGACGCATGAATTATGCAAAAAGCCGGCTAGTCCGATATTCACAACGCGCGATCGTCTCCATTGCATGGGCGGCGCAGGTGCCGCGACATGGTGGGTATTCGCCTGTCACGTCCCCCCAAATTAAAATAAATATATAAAAAGAAAAACTGAACGGTGTCCAATTATGTAATTTTCACTTCAATCGCGGCAATCTCGTTTGAACTCGACCAGCAAGAGAAAGTGGATGCAGGCAATACTCGAGTCTCATACGCACCGGAGGCATTGTTCAACTGCAAAAGCTAGTCAGAATTAATTGCCGCCACCAAAGTGGAGGCAACCAACTTTTCCTCGCTACGTCCAAGCACTATCCAGTACGGCTGCCTTTCATGTCTCATCCTCCTCTCTTCCCATGCCAAGGCTTAGCTGCTGAGTGCAACGGTTAACCCCGCTGCCCCTCTGCTTCTCCGGGAATATCCTGACTCAAATTTAAAGCGATGAGGTGGTAATTGAAAGATTGTGACTGACGCGCCGATAATTGGGGTCCTGCGCAAGTTCTCCGTCTCGGATTCGGGGGGCCAGGGGCTTACTCAGCAGACGCGCTCCCACCTTCGGCGGGTGTAATAACGCTCTCGAATGGTTTGTTTTAATCCCGTTTTGCAAGTGGCCCTCCGAGGGGGCTGTCGACTCTCCCGCGCTCGGAGGGCAGATGGCCTGTGGGGGGGAAGCGAGGCTCAGCGGCCGGAGGTGACAAAGTGTCGCAACGTGGAAGCAGCCATGTTTATACCCGTGCGTCACTCTATACTATGGCGGCGACAAATAAATCATTGCGGGTCTGATGTGCATTGATGGCAACCGTTGTGTCACTTAGATAGTTGATTAGCGTGTCTGTCACCGCGCCTTACGCTTAACATGACTCCAGCTGCAGAGGCATCGCACGCTGCCAACGGGCACGACGCTGATGAGCCATCCCTCAAACTGACAGTCTGCCATAATGTGTCAGCAAATGTGTCTCACTCCCTTTTTTATATTTATTTTGCTGCATATAGAGAATGCATTTGCATATGATGTACAGCCCCTTCCAAATGCAGTGAAACAGTGCGGCCAATTCCTTTCTTGCTGCCTCATTGTCACGGTCTTCTGCTTGAACTCTCTTCAAAAGAGCATCAAACGGCTGCAGCTCATTCACATTGCTGCAGATCAGGTTCTGACCAGAGCAATGGTAAGAACATGTTAGCGGGGTCCTAAAGGCTTTACACTGGTTCCCAATGAGCTATAGAAGAGATTTGAAAATGATACTACTGGTCTGTAAATTACTAAAAAATTGGGGTACTGAATACATCACGAAATGCTGACTGAATATAAAACTCAGATAGCCTGTGAAGTCTGCAGACTCGGGTCAAATTAGTGGAGCATTATGCAACATGCAAATGCAGTAAACTGCCACATGCAAATGGAATAAACTGCCAAAAAGAAATGAAATCTACCCTGAGTGTAAATGCTTTTAAATCTAGATTTAAAATGTGGCTTTTTTTTTAGTTAGTGCTGTAAATAATGGTTTTCATTGGATTGTTTTATACGTTTAAGCTTGAAGTACTTTTCAAACAAATATGTATGTGTCTTGACATTGTTTGGGACAGTGAGAAAAGTAAAAATAATGTCTCAGAAACAAACCTGACCAGGATTTACCTTTCCCAACCGAATTCCGAACCGCTACATAGAAACAAAGCAATCCCTTGATACTCGTTTTTGGAATCACATCAGAATGAAAGCCGGCCACGTCATATATATATATATATATATATATA